ACAAACAAACAAACAAACAAACCAAAGTTCGACAGATAAGCGGTAAATCTACGAACTTTCAACTCTTAAATGCGGGTCCCGATTCCCAACGATGGACAGAGTGCATGTAGCCCATTGTGTAGCTTCTGCACTAATAAAACAACAACAACAGCACACGAATAAAATGGTGCAATGTAAATAATGTTATGTAATTTTATTTTGTTGTGTTTATGAGATATCACCTAGTGTATGAGTTGAAACAAAGTTTTGCCTCTTTTCCTTCATGTGTTCTTGGATTGATTTCACGCATCTTTCTTTTTTTATATCAACCTAAGTCATAGGACACTTACCTTATAATCATTATTATTTACCTAGACCTATAAAGGGAAGCAACTTATACAGAAAAATAATATGTAGAAAAATGTTGCTAATATTGTACACATTATCAAATATATTACGTGGGATTGGAAAACTTATAATCTTTAATGACTACAACTTGTGAGAAAGAGCTGAAATACAGCAGTGACACCGGATGACATTATCGTTCTGAGCTGAAATATACGAAATGAGCCCTGGGAATGAGAGTTGGAGAGGAGGAGATGTTTCATACTTTTATTATTGATGTCTTCTCTCATTCACTGCTTTTGTGGCGTGGTTCAAAGAATAAATATGTATTTACAACTAAAAACAAGTGGGTAACTGCTTCAGTCACATAGGTACAAATTGAATTTATTGCTTTGCACCACTAACACTAAGATTAGTATATATAATAAGATTTGCGAAAGATGAAGTAACGATACGCTGACAGTGGTGGCTTGGTGTTCGCGCTCCTATTTACGTTTTCCAGTTGCTTCCGTTAGCGGCAACTAATGACGAAATAATAGTTATTTCGAAAGTAATTTTAAAGCAGATATTGTCCTTTTGACAATTACAATTTGCAAAAATATGCACATTGAACTTTCCTCTTCACATTCATATTACTAAGAAAAATGATACTTGGGCCAATTTTCCTTAGATTATTAACTAGGATAATAGAACTTTTGAAATTTTCTGGGAACTTTACGTGGCTCTAGAATCAAAAGTAAGGAAAGCTGGTAAATGAAATTTTGCAGACTTGTTATAGAGATGAATAATGATCAAGATAAAGCAAAAATTCGCCATTTGTAATTCTAGAGAAGAGTAACAATCATATAAATTTTATGCATGATGAATAAGTTACGTAAACAGAGAAGGCTACAGTATTTCTACATCTTATTTTCCCTTTTTATTTTGGCTCCAAAACTACTGTTTTCTTTGAATATATATATATACATATATGTTACAATTAATATGTTAACACGTATGTAGGCATGCTTAGTAATGTAACAGAATTAATAATTTCTTTGATAGGCAGTTACCATCGAACTTGCAACATCCAAGTATTGAATAATTTGCAGCATTTTGAGGCATTTTACGCTATATTCAAATGCTTCAAGAAATGAGAAATATAGTTCTATAAAATTCCATGTATGATATTGTAACAAATGAACCTATGAAGACCAGGCGTTTGAGTTCAACTTTCCACTAGTCACAATCAATTTATTTAAATTCCAGGAACACAGTCGTGTGTTTAGCTGAGTGAGCACACAGGCCACCAACACGAGGAACTTACATGTGAAAAAAGAATCGACTGAAATACTGATGATACAACAACATACAATACTTTATTCCACATCCATATCTAACATATTGACATATTCAGTAACATCGAAAG